TAGACTTCTTGCCTCTATACCGTTAATAGTCTCTTATCCATTTAATATAATGTTTGAGAGACATGAAAATATTTTATTTGGTACTACACAAGACCTAGGCGGAAAACTCGAGCGAAGCTATCCGAAAAACATTTCCGTTGGATGGCGTGTGTTAATGATTTTAAACTGCTTTCATTTTTTTTATTCGAAAAACAATGCTGAATTTCCTTCTGTAGAAAGACAGTAAATTCAGTAATTGAAAATTTAAATGTAGATTAAAAAATTGAAATCTTATTATCTAATTACTTAGAGAATAATTTGAGGTCAAAGATAAACATTTCCACTAATAACTTTAACTTTTAAAAAATATTGCTTTATTTAAATTATTAATTGTGAGGAAATCAAATAAAACTTTCATTATCGCTCTCGAAACACATGAAATTAAATGAAAAACGAATCTAACTAAATGAAATATTTTTATTAAAAATCTGCTTAAAAAGTAAACTGATACAAACATATTTTATTCGAAAGGCAACCAGATAGAAATTATCTTTAGAGAAACGTTAATAATTAAAAGTTTAATTAAAGATTTTTTTTAAAAAAAAACTAAAAACACATCAAAATTATATTATCAAATCGCTTAATATAATTTGTGAGCGCAAATATATATTTCCATTAAAAACTTTTATTTAAAAAATAAAATTAAAAAATAAAATTAAAAAATAATGTATTATTTAATTAAAAAATAATGTTTTACTATTATCAATTGTTCTATAAAATTCAACGTACTATAAAAATTCAACAAAAGCTTTATTATCAGTTTTTAAATACATGAAATCCTAAGAAACAAATTTAATACAGATTACCCAAAAAACGAAACTTTTATTATCTATTGATACGACATAATCTGAGATTACAGATCAACATTTACCTCATCTTAACTATTTTACAAAATGTACTAATATAGATTGTTAGAAAATAATTAAACAGATTAACCCAAAATAAATGAGCAAAAAAAAAACGCACATTTTAGATCACAGCATAAAATTATTTTAATTACGTAATTATGATCACTAATCAAAATTTTTCAACATTTCAGAAAATAATTAAGTATTTTTATCAATTGTTTGAAAACAACATAAATAAAAATAATAATAAAAACATTATAGTCGCTCTAAAAAGACTAAGTATGAACCAAATGAAAAAAAAATCGTAATTAAAAACACATTATTTAATTACTTGACCTATCATGAGATCACAAATCAATATTTAAACTACAAAGAATTTTAATTTTTTCAATTTAAGGATATGACTGTTTTCAATTATGAAATCGACAAAACCCTTATTATCGCTCTTTAAAACACTATTTACTTATTTTTAATAATATAATGAATATGAAAATAAATCAATAATTAAAAGAAAGCACAGTTGTGACAAACATAACACACTTTTTGGATCCGACAACACTACTTCAGTTGAACAAAAAAAACTCAAGATTTTATTATTTAAAATACTTTTTAAAAAGTATATAAAAGTTTAAATCGTTATATATTTTTTAGAGAAAAAAAAATTTCCATAAAAAAATAATATCAGTCTCAGATTTCTTTTTGATCAAAACTTAATTAATGGAATGAAATTTAAAACATACTACTTATAGTTTTAAATATTTATATCAATTGATTTCAAAAACAAATCTAAAATTTACTTACTATTACTCAGGATAAAGCAAAGTTTCTCGTTACTAACAGATAACTAACGGTATTAGCACGGGCTGTACAGAAAATAATACGTTCAAATGCAATGGTATTATTTTAAAAAATAAATTCTATTCTTAAAAATTTCTGTTTAACATGATACCAATTCTTTAATTGGCTAGCGAACCACAAATTCAAAGCATATAAGTTTCGGGTTTTTTCCCTTATTCCCCACGCGCCCTCGCCTAACCGTAACCAAGGGCAAAAAGGCATTGATTATTCTTAAATAAAAGAACTTCTTTAAGTGTTATTTCTGTTGTTGTTTTTTAATGTTATTTACATAGTAAAGAGCGATGAGACATCTGCTATTCTGCATAAAATAAGCAGAGTTTTAAATTTCAGCCCCTTTCACAACTTATGGTTGCTAATAGACATGAGTTGAGCTCAGCCCGAGAACCCTAGACCAGGCTGTCATTCTTTCAGTTTACCAGCTCGTGTTCAAGTTGAAATTTTCGTAAACTTTCTTATTTATTACTCTTCAACGAAACGTATGTTTCAAAATTATACGATACAGTTATTTATGATAATTAGCATTAGTTTTGAAAATTTATTAGCTTTAAATAATCTAAAAATAAGTAATGTGAAATAGCGTATCCTATGTCCTAATATACTCTTTGCCTTTCACATTTTAAGAAATTAGGCCTTTATCTGACATATTGAATCTTGAATTTGAGTGGGCTCGTATTTAAAGTCTTCGGACTCAGGCACTGAATACTAAAAATAAGTCTGAGCACATCTCCAGTAACCATGCAATCGATTAATTGTTTTGAATCGTTTTGGTCATTGGGTTATTCATCAGAGCAACTATATTTCTTTTAACACTCGTAATTCTCGCATTCTTTATTTATTTTCTTTTTTTTAATCTTATACTCTAAAATATAGGAACACATTTTGTAAAAAATGTTTTTCTAGTTTTCAGATATACTATCGGATATTTTCTTTTTTTATTTTTTAAATTAAAAAAAAAGTAGTGCAAAAAGTTATGCGTTTACTTTTTCAATCAGAAATTTCTTCAGTTTTGCATAAACTTTTTTCCTGGGAAAAAATATATTTCCCCACAGACAATTCTGTTGCATTACCTGTATTCATGATCAGCACTTAATAAATCTGTCCGTATATCGACATTTTGAATGCATTGAAGTTGAAAAAGAGAGGTAAATAATTGTGGTTTTACGTAGGGTTTTGAGAAAATAAGGTTTTGGGGGGATAAGGGTTATACAGTGCGCAAAATAAAAAACAGACCCCCATGAATAACTTTTGATCGAATGTTCACATTCTAGGACTCAATCTTAATAGTTCGAGGGTGTGACCTCAAATATTAATTAATAAGTGCAGACGGTATTTTAAGTTAACACGAAAGATCAGACACGAAAATATACTTTCTTTGAAAAAACATACCATATTTTTCTAAAATACGACTTTTTCAAAATTAGATTTCTCCGGAACTATGCGACTAATTTAGCTCAAATTTTACCATTTAAAACTAAATTCTTTAAGATGATGTAAAAATTTGTATAATCTTACAATTCCAATTTTTTTTAACTATTATTAAATAAAATAATAAATATTTACTAAAAATTATAATTTGCATGGAGTTATCTTTAGACAAACGAATTATATAATTGTAGGCAAAAGTTGTTCATTTCGCTTAATAAGTTTTCGGGAAATACGTAAAAAAGTAAAAATAAGACTAAGAGGTCCAAACTTTGAATGGTAAGCATCTATTAATTTTTATTTTTTCCCGTACGAGTATTGAGACAGACATCATTCTAGTACTATAGTAATTTTTCTTATACATACTCTTAATTCTTTGATTTGTCGTCTACCGATCAGATCGTAGTTTCAGATTTTAGGTGGAAATTTCTTTCGTTTTTTTATATGCCTTATTCATCTTCTACTTTTTTTCCATTAAAAAAGTGTTACGCAAATAAAAAAGTTTGTGCATTTTTTTCCAGAAATACTATGCTATAGTGCGTCTTGTTTTATTTCAAATCACTTTTCACCCCATACAATTTCTTTAATTAAAATATTCATTTCACATTTATGTAGCTCAATAAAGTAATTATCTATTTTTCTTATTTTATTCTAGAACATTACAGATAATTTATTTTAAAGTGCACTTTCTTGTTACATGATGTGATAAAAAAATCATTACCTTTCCCCTAATTTTTATATTTTTTTCGATAAATCTAAATTATTTATTTGTTTTTTTTTTTTTTTTGAACAAAGGAAAATATTTTAGATTTTAAAAGTGTCAGTTTGGTTTTCTCCAGTTTTTATTGAATTTTTATATTTAAAAGAATTTAACTTTATGAAAATGTATTACTAAGTTTATTGAGAAATAAATTAAGATAATAAAACATAATTATAATTATTTAAAAGAATTTAATTTCATGCAAATATATTACTAAGTTAACAGATAAAAAAACTGATCAATTTTTGATGATAATAATTTTAAAGAAAACACACAGTCCGAAACACTCATATTTACTTTAAAATTATTATTATTGTCGTCAACATATTAAAACTCTTGGGAACGCACCTCTGCTATATGAATTACAATAAAAATATTTGTTTTTATCATAAGATTTTTTTTATATTTCTTTAAAAATAAAAATAACCCTTAACTAAACTTTGAATATAGTTATTGTAAGATAGCTAGAAATTTCGTCGTATTATTAAGACAAATTTCATTCCAATGAGGTAATACCAATACAATATACCAATTTAGTAACTTTTTCGAAATTCCTCTTGACCATCGCAATTATCAGTTTTTTATTAATTTATATTAAAATAATTTAAATTTTAATTATATAAATTAAAATAAAATGACTGATTATAAATGTCCCAATGTCTCTTCATAGTGTTCTTGTCTTCTATTATAATTTTAAAATATTTGTGCTAAGTCTAAGATAGGGCGCATTTATAAATCTTGAAGAAGGGCACACCTAAGTTTATGCCTGCCATTGGCCAGCTTGTTATGGAAATGAAAATCGTGCAACATCTTTTTGCTTTTGTGAAATTGCAAAAAGACAATTATCATTTTTAATAATTAAATAAAGTGGTCGGAAGTGTGATATACATTAGTAATTCACTGTGAATTAAAAGAGCTTAAGTGTACGAAAGATCTAAGAGATATTTTAATAAATGTAGGTAAGTGACGCTTCTTTCTTTTCTTTTGTCTCTCTCTTTTTATTTCTATGATTTATGCGTTTTCAGTATGTTTGTGAAGATAATAAAACACATTTTTCAGGTATATCAGTTGTGTCCTTTTAAAAAGAAGATTTAATTTTCTAAAATATTTACATTTGTCAACGAAATCATAAATAATTCCTCCTCACATTAAACATAAAATCCAGTAAAAATAGTTGAAAAACGAAACTTCTCCATAACATTGGTAAACCACAAATCATCACTTAGTTTATAAATTCTTGACTTGAAGAAATATTTTTCATTCAAATTGCCGTCTTTGTCAGACATCAGTTGTAGACCTTCTTGGAATTGCTCGCTCACTTTTTCCAAGTTAAAGACATCAAAACCTTTCTGAGCAACGTGGATGGGGCGACACAATTTAGCTGAAACTTTTTCTCCCTTCCTGTACAAGAATCCTGATGATTTCGGTGGTAAATCTGCTCCGAAAGGAAACTTTGTTGTTTTTCCATATTGTAAAATACTTTTAGGTATTTCCCTCATCGCTTTATTTCCATTCCTTTTAATCAAGTCATCCATCACTAGGGATATTCCATTTTCATTTAATTTAGCCACGCCTATGACATCTGTTTTGGTTATTAGAAATCCCAAGATAAATATTGGATAACACTTGCCATATCTCTGTTGAACCTAAAACAAAAAGGTGTACTTCATATTAGCATGTAAAATATAGGAAACTAAAAGGTACACTTCTATGAAGAAAAAAAAACTAAATAAATTAAACTAATTATTTTTACTGTGTGAATCATTTATTAGTGTGTTAGATATTTATAGAGTTCCTGTTCTAATATAGTTCGACAAGCAGTTTCAAGATCATCCATACTAGGGTAGTGGAAGAAGAAGATAACAAAATTGGTTACCACACTTGGCGAAGTTTCACTTTTGAATTTCGATTTTTCCTCTGCATGTTAACTTTTCGTAGCTCTTTCGCCAAGGAAAATGAAAAAGCCGCAGTTTTAGTGCCTTACACTTGAAGCAAAGCTATAATTTTAAACTGCTTATGCCGTCTTGCTATAAAGAATTATCAGGGCTTTAGAAAAGACAAATAACTAAAATATTTTAAAAGTTACTGAACTTTTTTTTAATCGCCAATCTTGTCATATTTCTTTCATCTAGTTGAAAATTATAAAAATCAATGCCTTATTCCCCCATTTCTACAAATTTTTATGAGCCCAGATAATGCAGCATCGAACTAAGTTTCTAAATATTAAAAAAATAGACTATAAATGCTTTTCAAAACTGGGGCTTTTCTCCATATTAACGTTTTGCGCTAATTTGAGAATAACTTAAATGGGCAAAACTTTTCCTAACGGTTATGAGTAACAGTTGCAAACTCAGATCAATTATGAAAATAGCATATTATTCACAAAAAAGCATCATTTAATGCGACTACACATCCTTCGAAAAACAGCCTTAACTGTATCAAACTATGTTATATTTCTTTCTTTCTTTTTACTCATGAAAGTTGGGTACTTTAATGATTAACTGATTCAACTCCTTTAATATAAATAGTATATAACTTTGTTTTTAGCTCTTTTGAAAAAATTTCCATCATAAACATATTGTATGTTTTTTTTTTTTTTTTTTTTTTTTTTTTTTTTTTTTTAGCTTACTTTACTCTGTAGAGTTTGGACAGTTTAGTTTTATAAATTCTCTTCAAATTTGATATTCAAATAAACATGTAAAGTCAATACTTTACATGTTTATGCTTTACCGTTGTTTTAATGATCCATAAATTTTGTGTCAAACACTATTTATTTTTTAAGGCGGTTCTGAAACTAAATCAGTTGAATTATTTCACAAATAGTTGAATTATTTTTAAACTAGTTGAATTATTTCACAAATTTAAAACTAATTTATAAAAATATTATGGCACAAAAAATAACTTTCAAAAATTATTTATTTCTTTTTCCACATTGAATTGAATACTAATAAAAAAATAGTAACATTGAAGCAAAAATTTCAAATAAAAGTATTTGCGTTATTTTGATCTATACATAACAGTTTATGCACATTTAAAAAACAGCGCACACTATTAAAGAGACAACAATGAAAAATATGTTGTTTTTTTTAAATAATGCATTTTTTGAACAGTATGTTTTCAGGTATACTATTGAACCGTTCTACTTCACATTTTTTTTCCATCTTGATGGGGGGGGGGGGGGGNGGGGGGGGGGGGGGGGAAACGCAGTATAACTATTTTCCTAGTTTTGGATCACAAAATTATGTAAATAACTTAATATTACAGTTTCAGTTACTTAGCATAGATTATTTTCAATACATTAATGAATACATATAGATAAAATTGCAGATATTACTTACGTCGTTTGAAAAATAATATTTTTTCATTGCATCAGCATTTGCAGAATAGCCAGCTAAACTACACATATTTTCACGAGGCTGAAAATAATTCGCAACATCTGCAAAAATAGATAATAGTTTAATAAATTATTTGGAGATATAGCACGATGCTTAAAGAATTAACATCATCAATAGCATTTTAACGTTGAAAAAAATTGAATTTTTTAAACTCATAGCATTCATATTTTGCTTTTCATCAAAAATGAATCAGGCATCAATTAACCAACTTTGAGAACAAGATTTTAATCACGTGTTTAATTAAATTATTATAAACTTACTGAATAACCATTCTTCGAACGAAGTAAAAAAAAAAAGAGCAAGTAATCAATAAATCGATATTAATTAACATGCACAAAATTCAGAAGTATAAACCAACATAGTTAATAAAGCTTAAATAATTCTCTTTTTCCCCTTTTTGGTGATTTACTATACGTTCTTAGATTGCGTTTTTAAAGTTGAGAACTTGCGTTTTTAGAACTCATCAAAATAAAGGGAACCATACACAGTATCATATTTTAAAGCTAGATGAACAAATATAACTACTAGTAAAAAATCATATTACTTAGTCCACATAACATCATTTGGCCTTAAAAAGAACTGACTATTGCTTTTTTCTTTTTAAATCTCATAAATTTTTGTTATTTGTATGCATATAATTTAGTTAACATTAGAATGATATTGGATAATTCTGCCACGCAACTGTACAAACTTGACCTTAGGATGAACGCTTCACAAAACCGATTAGTTTTAGAAATAATTATATAGATTTGATTGCAATATCTGTCTGCATATATTTCTTTATCAATAGCTAGAAATTAATTTCTAATTTTAATCCACCGTCAAGCGAATGGGAAACGCAGGCTATTCCTGTAAACTCAGCCAGAGTTCCCTTTGCATAGCTTAAATAGAAACTTTAAAGTAAAGCTGATGCGAACTGTTCATCGTTCAATGATTTTTATTTAGGGAATTCATATTTTCAAAAAACAATGCAATCCTATTAACCCAACAATTCACTCAGCGTTATAAAATATATAAATTTTAAGTTAGATATCGATATAGTAAGCTTACCAGTTTCAAACCATGATCGAATAAGCTTTATTTTATTTAGAACCCTTAGTTTTTCAAACGTAATGCTCCTCAGTTTTTCTGAATCATTTGGTGATATAAACCATGCTGTGAATAAGGGTGGGACATCTTCCCATTCATTAAATCTCTTTTGTAAGTAACTGACATGCAGACCATCTTCTCTGATAAGAGCCTGAAACAAATAAAAAAAATATCAAATAGTTAGCAAACAGTTGTTTATATTCAGTAAATGAATCTGGAAGTATGAAACATTCGATTTGTAGGCAAATGACTGTTAAATGAGAGCAATTAAAATGGAAATGAAGATCGGTATCGATTCGGATTTATTTGGAATTGTTTTGGTTACTTAGTACCAGCTCTAGAGGGCTCTCACTGATTCATCGGATCTGGCACGACTCAAAGAAATAAGATAATGACATAGCTAGGCATATAGTTCAGTTCATGAACGGACAAACAAAGGACTATAAGAGGAAGAAAAACGACAATAAAGGTTGCTCCCCGGTCACACCAGTTTGATATATATGAATGGTAATAAATGGAAAAAAAGACTACGTACAATAATTACAATACTTCTTGAATAGTATACCATCAGATAAGAAAAAGGCTATCAATGGGTTGTGAGTAATTTACTATAAAGCTTTACTTTTCAAATTATTGCCATAATTTTTTATAGTGATTTCTTGCTTTTTGAATATAAGATTAACAAACACTAAGTTGGTATTTAAATTCAGATATTTCTGCTTCCAATACGTTTAAAAAGGAAAATAACACTATAGTGATAATTAAGGTGATTATTGAAGTTTAAATATAGATTAGGGGTGCACAACCTTTTTGAGTGAAGGGCCACTTGCACAGCAGGTTGGCTAACGAAGGGCCGCAGATGTCTTTAGACATGTTAATGACAAATATAGTAATATTTATTTAAACATTAGCGTTCCATTTTTTTTATCAATAAACTTAGTAATATCAATAACTTAGTAGTGTTCCATTATTAGATTTCATTCAAAAATAAAAAAACTTATACTTTTTTTTCTACAAAAAAAAAAACTTGCTACTTTTATCATATGAACAATAGATTTATCAAAATAAATAAACATTGAAGAAAAGAAATGTTTTTTTTTATCATATCATGCAATACGAAAATTCATTTTAGAATTAAATTTTAATAAATAAAATAAAAACTGCAATGCCCTCAGAATGAAAGTAGGAAAAAGTTTAGTCATAATTAAGGAATATAAATTCAAATTAAATATTGTAATTGAAGAAAATTTATAGGTTTTAAACAAAAGCCTAAAATAAAAACAAAACTGTGATAGATCAAAATAAAATTCAATGCTTATTTTGTAATGTACTTTATTATTTTATTTTATTAATTATTTGATTTTTTAATATCGTAAACAGTTTCCCTTTTTTTTATCGAAAAAGATCACTTAAGCAACAAAAAATTGAAATCTAAACTACAAACAGTGAGCAGTTTAAAAATTCACGTTTTCCGTCATTTTATGAATTTCTTAAGTTGCAATAACATTGCATTTAAATTAGGGAGGGATGTAACAAGTATTTGGCCCTTCTGTGAAAAATCCAGTTGGTTGAATGATCAGTCAAATATTCGGCAGAATATTTTTTAGAAATGTATTTTTCCAAGTTTATTTTATTTTTGAATTTTTATGGATATTACTTTTTTTTAAAAAAAAAATTATAATCAGACAAGTCTATTTTGTCATTTTTTCGATACTTTGAGAATTGAGTTTATTACCGCTCTTTCCCTGTACTGTAATATAAATAACCAGTAACATAGAAAAGTGTGATATTCAGTATTAAAGTTTTGTTTCAGGAACTAAGGAAAATTTGTTTTTTCTGTTTTTCTTTTTTTAGGCATTTTTATTATGGCTCAGCATTTTTTTTATAAATAAAGTTACTAATAAAATTTATTTTATAGCAATTTTTTTTCTTCTAAAATTATGGCAATGAGAAAAATTTAAATTGAGATTTTTGGCATAAGATCTTCATTTAAAAAATTAAGAACGCTTTTTTTCTATCTTTTTATTTTCTTCAAATAAAAAAAAAAACCATTTTAGACGTTTTCATTATAACGTAGTAATTTTTAATAGCATTTCTGTTGACTTAATTCCTTTTTCTTGGCTTTTTCTGGTAATTGAAAAACTGAGATGCTCAGCTTTAAAAAATTTTTTCAAAAATTAAGATTGATTTTTATGTTCTCTGTTTCGCTTTTCGATATTTTCAAAAACGTTCTTGATTGGCCTTATTTTTTAGAGTTAATTTATGAAAACGTTTTTCCAGGAAATATTATTCTGAGCATTGAAATTTTAGTTTCAGTGTTGCTATGCTGCTAAAAGATTTTGCTATTTGGCCCCAAGTGTACGGCGTTCAGTCGACTTTTTCTTCTTTTTTTGCCGAATATTTGATTTTTGATCAAATCACAATTCATTACCACATTCGACCAAATCATATTCGTTGCGGAAATAAAAACGAAGGAAAAATAACTAGGATTTAAGATAAAACTGTACCGAAATACCGTATCAAAAAGGGATTATTTAATTGCGCGATTAATAATCACGTGTCGTAATAACATCATAGTCAAATAACGGGATCGTCAAAATCATTTGGAAAAGTATAGAAATAATTGGGGAAAATATATTTATGCTGAACTCAGCACGAATAAAGCGTGCCAAATTCATGATTTAAAATTTGTATGTCGTAATAGAACAATTGAAATTTTTTATAATACGAGAGAACGCATAGCAATAACTGACGGAAAAAAATTTTGAAAAAAAAAGAAAAAATTGCAGGATAAAAAGTCACTTAGATTTAAGATGAAATCGTCACAAATAAAGTGCACAAAAAGTGATTAAATTTGCGATCTGAAATTCGCGTCGTAATAAAAATTCAGCATTTTCGAAAACACGTAGAAAAGCGGAAATAACTGTTTAAAAAAAATCATTTATATTTACGATAAAATCGGCTTAAAGAAAGCGCGTTAACCGTACATTTACTAAAGAATATGTTAAAATTGATTGTGTCAAAACGTGATGACTTAAAAGTGCGATTAAAAATTGCCATTTTTAAAATTTTTTTATTGTGTTTAGAAGCTCTCGCGGGCCGCACTTCAGTAGTCGAAGGGCCGTATTTGGCCCGGAGGCCGCAGGTTGTGCACCCCTAATATAGATACTATATTTCAGTGGTTAAAAAAAGTTATAACAGGATAGTTAACACTAAGATCAGTGTCCTAATTTCTTTCAAGCTATACATAGTGAGCCGTAATGGCTCAGGGGATAGAGCGTACGCCCTCCAATGAGGTGAACCGGGTTCAAATCCCGGCGATGGCTGGTCGATACGAATCCGCATCCGACTTGCACCGACTTCAGTGCTGACTTCAAATATCCTCAGTGGTAGACGGATCATGGGTTAGAGTGCCCTTGCCGTCAGGCTAACCATGAGAGATTCTCGAGGTCTCCCATTCCATGTAACGCAAATGCGGGTTAGTTCCATCAAAAAGTCCTCCACGAAGGCAAATTTCTCAATATACTAGATCCAGAAGTTCCCTTGTCTTCTGGATTGGGTTTAAAATTATAAGGCTAGGGAGTTGAACATTAGTAGTCGTAAACTCAAAAATTGGGTCGGCTGTTCAACGACGGTTGTAAAAGAACAACACATAGTTGGCAACGGATATTTATATTGCTACAGTTTAAATGTAGATTCGTTTTTGTAGAAAAATGAGTGAACATCGGCCATTGTTGGAGTTTAAATTTAGATTTTTTATTTTCAATTGCTAAAAATGAGAGAACTCTAAAACCATTGTTAGAGGTAAAATTTAGTTTTTTTTTTAATTGTTAAAAAATCAAATCTTTTTGATAACGTTTTAGTGAGATTATGTTGCTTAACTTCAGTAATTTATCTTGCTACGAGAGGGAGTTTTCATCTTATCATAATGAATACATTTACTTAATACGCCAGAAATTTTAATACGTTATTTTATACACTTGAAAGTTGATGCTCAGAATAAATATGAAAATCTCCGAGAAGAGGTGGGGAAAGAGGAAGAGATGGGACCCTACCGGCAGGTTGAGCCCTAAAATTTGAAAGTTGAACCAGCAGGCCAAAAAAGACAAAATAGAACCTAAAAGAGTTCCTAACACCATAATTAATTTATAAAATGTATTTTACGTATTTCACGGTGAAATATGAATATATTGGCAAATTTTGTGAAAAACGATATTAATTATTAAATTCAGTAAGCAATAGACAGCCAAAACAGTAATATATATATTTATATATATTGGCTCAAATGTGTTAAAATTGATGCTAGAACCTTCTAATTCCACTTTCTAGGAGTTATTTAAGTTGTAATATCAAAAATGCATTCTTTATTTTAGCGCTATACACATTCTTAAGAAAGAATAAGGAGTAAAACTAATTTGCTAGACATTCTGCAGGTATTAATAAGTATGATTATCCTTAATATAATGCAATTTTAGTAATTTCCATGAAAAACATAAACAAAGCATCATACCTCTGGTGTGATATCAAATTTGTACATGGTAGCTGCCATAATAACAATGTAGTCAAACTCGGCTGCCAAGTCAAGCCATGGTTGAATTTCCTTTTTACGCATATGAGAGTTTTGAATGATAATAGTCGACTTTTTTGAGCGACATGCTTCTAAGACCCTGAAAAATGTTTAAAAAAAGTATTATTAATAGATAGATTTTACTTTTCAAAGTATATCTGTTCTGAATGCCAGCTGAAAACTGAAGAATAGCGGTATGAAACAATAACATCTTTAAGTTCAAACATATTTTCATCATTATTAAACTAAAGAATGAAACGCAATGAATAATTATAAGAAAAATATTTTTTTACATGGTATTATTTTGGAAAAATTATCGTTCTAAATTAGTGTTTTTGTTTCATTCAAATAGTTAAAAAGAAATAGTAAAATATGCGAAAAGGTTTAATAATTAATATTAAAGCTTACGGCTTCCCCCCTGACTAAACTATTGGGATTTGAGGGGCAATATTTTTCAAACTGAGGCTACTCCTCTCTCACCCGTATTTTAAGAGTAAAAAATTCCGTTGAAAGAGAGAAAGTTCATTTTTGTGTCTGATTTCGAAACTTAAAAAACAATTCTCTTTACTTAGTAATTTGGCCTACCCTTTGAACCATTTGTGCGAAATAATCATATCACTAATTCAAAATCTAGTTTTTATTTTTTAAAAAAGACTGTGTTTTTTTTTTTTTTTTTTTTTTTTAAGACAAAATTCAAAACCTTCTTGAAATAGGTTCGATAATTCACGAGGCATTGGAATGTAAAATTATAAAACTGAATAAATAAATCAGAGACCCAGAGCTGAAGCTAGTTCATTTTATCCTTCAAACATTCTAGGGGTCTTCCGCATTGTAACTGCATATTAGCCAACTATTCCTCGAATTAAATATAACATTTATAATAATTTAAATTTAAGAGAATTTATGATTGAACAAATAACTGAACTGCGAATTAAATTTGTATTTTTTGAGCAATTAAGCTCTTATTTATAAAAATTTTTTTAATTAAAATCTGAAACTCAAAGGTGTGCATATTTTATATACATTGTAATAGTAAAATTGCCGGAGTGTTAGATTATTATCTGGAGTGGAGCATCGAAAATGTTTCTTTTCCGGGTTTAAGTTAATTTTGTATATATATTTTTATGCATTAAGGTTATTTTTGCTTATAGCACAGAAAAAGAATCGATGGGAACTATGTTTATTCATGAAGACTATTTAGTGATCATAACATAAAAGATGATCGCTTTATGTAAACCTTTGGTGGAAAGTGTATATATCTAAAAGGTAGTTTCAAAAGTACAGTCCCTGGCCAATTTATTCGGCGCACTATAAGATTCTAGGTAAAATCTTAATTATCAAGTGATACTATACAGCTTTATTGTTGTTATGTGACTGAAACCGGTTTGCACTTGTTTACGCTAGCGTATTAATTGGTTAAATTAGACGATATATTATATAAATATAGAATATTTATTACATCAAGCATTATATGAGTGCATTATAATAATTAGATCAAATTATTAGAAGCACTGTTGTTTTTTAATAATGATATGATTTGCACAAGTTTATATGCAATACTTTTATAATTAAACAAATATGTAATGGGTTTTTATTCAGGAGATTTTTTATATACTTATAAATTCCTGGACCCATTTTGATGTTTAATAACTCATAAAATAATGAAGATATAAGCAAACTTATGGCATTTATTGATGGAATAACTCATATATTTTCCTTTTCAGGTTTGAATATCTTTACTTTTGTAAATATCGTCAGCGTGTGTGGTTAATTTCAGATAATTTCATTTTCCAGTCTAAATATCTGTACTTTTGCTTATTAATTGCATTTTTCTCTCTTTTGTTTTTGGCAACTATTGCAATGTTATGTTTACTTTTGATGTGTTTGTTCGATGTATACTTTTCTATGTGATGTTTTATTCGAGCGGATATTAAGGAGAATGCATACACCACAAGAGAAAGCAGAGATTTTAGGGTGGTTCATAGAAACGAAATCGATAGTGCAAGCACAGAGAAATTACAGAAGAATTTACCGAAAAGATCAATCCTCACGAAGGGGGCACACGTGGAAGTTCATTGACAAGGGTCATGAAACTTTTTGAGTCTATCTAACCACTTATGTTATTAGTTTTAATCTATCTTTATTATTTTATGAGTTATTAAACATGAAAATGGGTCCGGGACTTTATAAACACCCTGTACTTCCTATTTGTATTTATTTTTAAATTATTACATTATTAACCAATTGATACAGGAGCGCAAACAAACGCAAATAGGTTTCATCCGAGTAAAAACAATACAGCTGTATAGAATCACCTGATAATTACAGTAGGGAACCGATTATCCGGACCATCGCTATTCCGGATAACTGATTTTTCCGTGAATCGCTACAAAAAGCCGTTTTTTTATTGTTAAACCCAACTAAAAAATATATATGTTTGGAAATAATCTCAAAAAGAAGAAAAAACGATGCACTAATGATTATTTCCAAAATGATGGTAAGGTAAACATCTTTCAAAAAAGAAAGAAAAATCCCAAAATCTTATGAGGAAAAATTTTTTTTTTTTTTTTTAAATGGCGGGAAAATTTATTGAATTTCGTTCCGGTTTTCCGGTTTTCTGATATCCGGATAACGAATTCTGTACTGTATAATTTTACATAGAGTGCGTCTAATAGTATGGCAAGAGACTGAATATTTGGATTTTGTAACTCGGCGTTGTTGTGCTGATATTTAAGTTGGATAAACAGTACAAAAAAAGAGAGATACTTACGCTTTTGTACAATCTTGTCTTGTTTGCTCTAAGGTTTCATGCTTGAGATTAGAAGAGTCATCCTTAGTTTCATAGTTTTCTGTTAATTTTACCATACAGCAGAAAGGAGATGCTGGATATGTTTCCCGCAACATATTGCTGAGCTTCGTTTTCTTTGTGTAAGGTGGTCCTCGTATGATGAACATAACACGTCCATCGTTTTTAATGACAGAAATTGTCTCGCTATTGATCAAAAATGGAAAGTTGAATATCTTTTTCGGATCTTCTGTAGTATCAAGAGAGAATCTCTTAAAAGGCAAAATGGTTGTGTTCTTACTTACTTCTCTAGTGTTTTTATCTTTTATCACCATATTCTATAAAATAAAAGTAAAATTAATTTGACAAATGCACTGACCTTCAAATGTATCGATTTTCTTCATAATTACCGGGCAGATTTTAACCTTTTCAAAGGTAAGTAAACTTACCACCAATTTATGAAGTTACTCATGGCGAACTTTTTTACCACTTTTAATTTAGGTTTCCATTTGTTCCTAACTTCAGCTTTCTTGAAGTGTGTTTGAATAAAATTGGTAGTTTAAGAGAACGTATAAAAGTATAATTTTGTAGCATTTACAAAATTTATTTTATAAGTAACGAAAAATAAAAGTCTGATAACTGATATATAACTGATAACTATAAACTGATGTATTGTCGTTTTACTTCCACTACTCCCACTCCCTACGTTGCAGAGAAGTGGGACACTTAGTATTCCCTGGAGGGAATTTTTAAAAAATCCTGGAGGGGAATATGATATTAAATTGTAGTTGTTGTTGTAGTTGTAGTTAATTTACGTCGCACTAGAGCTGCACAATGGGCTATTGGCGACGGTCTGGGAAACATCCCGGAGGATGATCCGAAGATATGCCATCACAATTTTGATCCTCTGCGGAGGGGATGGCACCCCCGCTTCGGTAGCTCAACGACCTGCACGCGAAGTCGAGCACTTTACGGTAGCACAGTTTAACGAGGACCAATACCGCACACCCTCGGTTCCTACGCAGACTGATCCAAGTGGTCACCCATCCGCACACTGACCGCAGCCAGTGATGCTTGACTTCGGTGATCTGCTGGGAAACGTGTCTTAACCATCAGAGTCCACTGCGGGACGATATTAAATTGTATAAATACTGTAGCTTGTAGGGAGAAACTCTTTGCTGATTTGAAATCAGCCTCCGAAAATTTTTGATATGCATTCAAATATCTCCTGTAGCATAAATCGAAAACAAAAAGAGTTCCTCGATGTTATTATTATTTTATAACCAAGAATCAATTTTGTTATTTTGAATATCATTTCGAATGCTGAAATTGGGAGCAATTGAACGCTGAAATTGTATATAAATTGGTTTCGTTGAAATAACCAAGTATTTTTAATCCCTCAACAGTCGATTATTATGGAATGATGTGAAAAGTAGTACTGTTTGGAAAAATTAAAAAAGTTATAACAAACGCTTTCTGAAGTTGCTGGAAATTATAAAAAGTTTAATTTCACTTAAATAGACCAGTTTTAACATCGAAATATATTTTCTCTATTGTTAAGTAATGAGATTGATATCACAATGAGTTGTTAAAATAGTGAGTAAATTATTTACAAAATGTAAATTTATACATCGAGTTTAATCATATACATGAGCAGAAGTTAAGCTAAACTATGTACAAAATATTTACAGAATATATACAAGGAATATAATACAAAATTAAGGTCAAGTATAAAACTAGGGGTACAAAAAGAGAATTTATTAAGATATAGGCTTTTATGTATTTGTTGTAATTATTATTATGTAGAAGTGGTCAAACTCATTTATAATTATTATTGTAATTCAAAAAGTTTAATGGAACAACATGAGCTTCGCTACCACTTTGAATATAAAAATAAATTCTTTCGGAATAACCAAAATAGTTGGCAGCTGTGTACGTAATTATAGAAAAATTACCTAAATAATGAAGAATACTAAACTTAACAAATAACTTAAATTTCGTTACCATTAATATTTTTTTACAAAGTGGAACAATTTAGCATCTTTGTACGATGTTTAAATTAAGTAAGTGTTTTGTTGTATTAGCTACCTTAATTAAATTTTTCTAAAAAAATCATTTACGTTTAAAAGTTACAGATTATTTTGTGATTCATCAGATGATTTATGATTGCAATTCCGTATTAGAAACCTTTTATTACTAATATATCATGGCAATTAGGTATTTTTAGCTTATCCAAAATAAACACTAATAATAAAATACAGATGCTGCAAATTTTTTGTCTTGTTTAGAAAAACAGGAAAAAATCTGTCTTTTCTGCGTAAATGAATGGTCAGTAATTTTTATCCTTTCTAGTGAAATTGATTATATTTACAGGGGAAAAAACTTGTAAAAATTAACAACAGTAAGCAGAAATTATAAATTACTTTTAGCTAAAACTTAATACCGTGTCTGATAGATTACTAGAGATTAAATATTTGTTTAAATTATGGTATATGAAGTGACTGATTAAATAATTTTAAATCAATTTTATTGAATCAAGATTTAAATATTGTCATAAATCTTGCTGTTTAGTATTATAAGAACAGAAATCCCTAACAGCGATTTTCGAATAGAAATAATTTTTTTAAAAAAGATTATAAATGTTGAGCTGGTCAAAATAAAATAAAAAGAATTGAAGTAAAAAGCGTAGATTTTGCTAACACTTTAAAAAAAAAACTTAATTCAAAATACTTAAAAGATAATTCAAAATTCTTGATTTAGCTAAATTCTTGAAGGAAAAATTTTTTTAACTCATAAACAAGCATTAATAAATATATTTTGCTTCCTCTAAAAAAAAATCTATCAAAAAAAAAAAAAAAAAGAATAAAAGTTAGCAGCTATGCAACGCCTTTATAAAAATCACAAATTTCCTAACCAAATATAAGTAATCAATTTTTTATTTTAATAAGGTTGATAAGAAGATCGTATTGCTCTTAGAAGAATGTAATTAAGGAAATAATGTTCTGACCACTTTTCCAATTTTAAGACTATGAAAGTGGTCTCTTAACTTTTTATTTATCAAAGAAACTTAAAAGTACAATTTTCATACTTTCAAAGCTAACAGCTGGTTATAAGTTATTTTATTTTGAATTTTATTTCATTTGCATTAAAATAATAACCAAAATATTTACTTTAGGGTGTTAAATTTGCGACTTGGTATGAAGTTAATATAGTCTACAAATCGTAAAATAGTCACTTAGTATTATAATAATTCCCTATTATTTTTGTTGTGTGCGTCCTGCTTACATCAAGTAATAAAGTTATTTCGTCAAACAATTAAGAATTTAATCCATAAAGGGCCCACGTTTCCTTTAACTTTTTCAAAAAAGATGAAAACTGGTGACCCAATTATCTTGAAATTTATTTTGGTAAGGAAAAAAAAAAATAAACAAAACATTCGCGTTCTATTATATATTTGTAATATAACTATTTTATATTATAATCGACGTAGAACATTGATCCATGTACCACTCAGGATATTTTACGAAATTGGGTCACCTCATTGGGAGGCAAATGAGGAGGCATCCCCTGAGTCACCGCGGCTCATAATATGAGTAGTACCTACATATTCATCCAAAATTAAGTGAACCCGATGTTATTATTATTATTATCATAATTTATCTGGGTGCCTTAGGATATTTACGCCCATTTTTCATTCATTGTGAAGTTTTAACTTCAAGGTCGTACTTTTTGGTAACGAGAAAGCAAAGCGGAAGGAAAAGAAGAACTAAATATTTTGTATTCTAGGTTAAGATGCATCGATACAAAAATAAGCAGACATTGGTCAAACATGAGATTTTGAAACTAAAATGGTAGCCAATATCAAGGGCGCCGGCAGCGGGGTGCACTTGCACCCCCCTGGCTTTTTTTTAAAAAAAAACAATACAGAAAAACAATTTTGTTATAAAAAATTTTTTATTAAAAATATTTTTATTCAAAAACAAATAATTAAGTAATTATTGATTCACAACAGTTAAAAAATTGTTTAATCAAACAAGAATTGTAATCGTCTTGTTTGCTGTCCAAATCTGTTTATAACTTTTTCAATGAATTCTGAATCATCTTTAATTCTTTTTTATGCACACCGAGCATGCACAAACTTGGCAGATATCTAAGCTATATTTTTAAATTTCATTTAATAAAATATAAATAATATTATATTTTCTATTAGTTATTTAGTTTAACAAAGGTGTATAACACAAACTGACTTCTCACAACTGTAAAACTTCATCAACACAATAAATATCAATTTTAAGCGTGCACAAACACGTTAGTATACGAAACTACTGTTTGTAGTTATTAGTGTTTCAATGCCAGCGCCAACAATACGGTTTATCGTGGCAAAATTTGCAAGCACTAGAAATTCGTACTTTTTTTTTTAAAAATATGTTAACAATGAAGTAATGTATCTTAAAAAATATTAACAGATGGAAGAATATGTAATAACAAAACAAAATGTAATAACAGAATATTTTAAATTTTTTTTTGAGGGGGGGGGTAGTTTGTTAGAGGGTTGCACCCCCTTTTATATTATTCTGCCTGCACCCTTGGCCAATATTATAATTATCTAAGGTCTTTATGTTAACCAACACAATCTATTACACACTAACGTAATGATTAACTTAATAGAAGAAAAAAAATTTTACTTACGAAAAGATATGTTTTAAAAGCAAATCACGTACTTTAACACCAGCGTAGATAATTTCGTCGAGGAAATATATAAGTCACGCATTGTTCCGGGCATATTTATATAGGCTATATAAGTTTCTGAATGAAGTAAAATGACGTAATAGATTCATAAGTTTCAGTTTCCAATATTAGGAAGCTCACGCTGTAGGATGAATGCCCTTCACTCGATTTGATAATATTTTTTTATTTTATTATTCTGTTCCGGGAAATGTTGTTGCAAGAAACATTAAATTTATAATTGAAAGCCATTTGTTTCACCCTTTTGAATGCTGCAAATAATAAAATTGTGTGATTCAAATGGTTGCTATATATTTTTTGATGCTCCTTGATTAAAAGCCCATATAAAGTGGATTGTAATAAAAATGTGATAAGAAGTCACTTTAATTTTATTATAAAAAGACCTCATAAATTCCTATTTTTATTTATTTATTTTAATACGGGTATTCCCCGTATTATTTTTATTACGGGGAATTCCCCACATTATTTTTAATGCGGGGGAATTATAATAATTGGAAAAATTATTATTTACTATTTTTTATTTCTGAAATGCAAAGAATATATTGTGTTAACCTAAAATTTTTGTTAAACTTGTGAAATTATATTTAATTCTTCATTAAATGTTTTGCTAACTACGGAGACCATTCAAATATTACTAAGGCATTTTTTTTAAGTTTTGCCCTCCCCCCCTCCCTGCAGCAGAAATAAAAAAAAATAAAAAAAGATCATCAACCCTCTATAATATGAATTCATAGGAAAGTCGTAACCCCCACTAATATAATGAAAATTATTAGAAGTTGGGACTGATGGCTTATTTATGATGACAATTTAGATCTTTGCATGGGTGAATGATTATGGCAGAGAACAAATTGGATACTTGAACTTGACCGTTCAAGTTGGGATGTGTAGATGGACCAACAATCTATGTTGTGGACCAGTGGTTACCAACTGCCGGCCCGCTGGCAGCATCCGGTTTCTTATGGTCCGCGAACTAAAATATATTAACTGTCATTTTTTGCGGACAATTTTCGTAAAAAATCTATATGGGTTTAAAATACTTTTCTTTCGTTAANAAAACTAATTTTTTCGTTTCTGTGAAATTTAACATACCAAACGATGCAGAAAAAAAAAAAAAAGAAATATTTCTTAGGTTTTGCATCCAAGAAAATATTTATTCAAATACAAAAATAATCGTGTATGTTGCTTAGTAATCTACTTCTAATTTTAATTTGTAATTCAATATTTTTATTTTGTACAATTTGATAAAAATCTGACATTAATATTTAATGTTCCTTCTAACGTAAAAGAGTCCTATAAAAAATTTTGATAAAGTTGCGGCACGCCATTTGACTGGTGTTTTTAATAGCGGCCCCCGGTCCCATGTAAGTTGGAAACACCCTTGTTGTAGACAATATATATATATGTGTGTGTGTGTGCGTGCGTGCGCATGTGTGCGTGTGTGTGTGTGCGTGCGTGTGTGTAGTAAATAGAATAAATTATAGACCATGAAAACAAGATAATTATCAGTAAAAAAACTTTTATCTCATAAAGTAATAATGCAGAGCTCGAGTTACAAAAATTTAAAATAATATCTTATCATAATAACGTTTTAAGTAGAAGAATAAATTTTGAATAATGACAATAATTGGGACATGACAAGGGAGATAAATCCTCCACGATCTACGCCCGAATAAAGACCAATGGGCCAGGAAAGTCCGGTTGGTATACTGAATTGGAGATTGACCGTTCTCTGGTTCAAGTCAAAATTGTGATCTCTGGATGAATGAATGGAGTATGATTGGATCCTCCCCGTAAACGGGCTGCGACGAATGTGTGGCCGAAGTCGTATTCTTGGCCATAGATGCATGGTGCTACTGAAAAAACAAAAAAATCACTCTCTGCCTTAGAAATTTGCTTGATTTCAAGCAGGCTTGCTGATACCGTCAAGTGGCATAATTAGGCCGGGATAGCATGGTTAGTAGGGCACTGGGCTCGTGTCCAACAGGTCGTGGGTTCGATCCTTGCCGACCAAAGACTCCCAGTGTAGTAAATGGTGACTGATACACGTTAAATTTGTCGAGTCTCGAAGTCCTCCATGTTCCAAAATAAATACCTCTGATAGTACTGATCCAAGAGTTTCCTTGTCTTCTGGACTGGTACAAAATTACAAGGCTACGGAGTTGAACATTAGCAGTCGTAAACCCAAAATTGGGTCGGCTGTTCAAGGACGCTTTTAAAGTGGCATAAGTGACAACAAAAAAACTCAATTAAGAAGTGTGTATTTATTTAATCTACTATCCAGAATTGGAGCTTAAAACTTTCTATTAAAGATCGTTACGGCGGTCTATGTTTCGTATGAACCATCTTGCTTTATTCTTCTCTGAAGTTTAAATTTAGTGACAAGTTTCTTCCTTTACGCTTTTGAAATATTGCCCGATCTTCCTACAATAGTTTTTTCTTTATTTAACAAAAGCTGGGCAACAGGGCCGCGCAGAAGACCCATATCCCATTCATCGTGAAATTACAGTGAAATTGAAAAATATAAGCAGTTTGTACACAGAGTCTCTGGGGTGACTGATATTCTAAAGCAGGTGTTTCCAACTTACAGGAGGCCGGGGGCCACTTTTAAAACCACATATCAAATGGCGGGGGGCAACTTTATCAAACTTTTATGTTGAACTCTTTTATGTTTGTAGGAACATTAAATATTACTGTCAAATTTTTACCAAATTGTACAAAACAAAATTATTGAATTACAAATTGACATAAGTAGATTTTTAAAAAATATTTAATTGTTATTAATAGTATTATTAAAAATATTGAATAAATAATAAAAATTCGGGCTACAATATCTTTAATGTGCACCTATGTATTAAACAATTAATGTGCAACAGTTATCTAATTGTTAAGATATAAAACTTTAAAAAAGTTGGTATTAAAACTTACATAGTAGCACACAAAATATTCAATGAGAAAATTGAGGTTTGTCTGCTGCAACCACCCGAGAATAGATATTTACATTTTAAATTAAAAAATTACAAATGTGTGTGTAAATATTTTTGTCCAAAATGAGTGATTTCAAAAAATTAATTCGGAGAGTTTCTGATACGCACATGCTAAATTATATTCACAAAATACAAAATAAAAAAGAGCAACATACACGATTATTTTTGTATTTGAATAATTATTTTCTTGGATTCCAAAACCTAAGAAAAAAGTTTTTTTGCACCGTTGGTATGTTAAATTTCACAGAAACGAAGAAATTAGGTTTTTATTAGCGAGAAGAGTTTTTGCCATATTGTTTTTTTTACGAAAATTAACCTCAAAAAATGACAACTAATATATTTTAGTTTGCGGGCCGGATGCGGCCCCCGGACCGCCAGTTGGAGCCAGTTGTTCTAAAGCAAGCACCTTGCTTGTTTAACTGAAAGTTCATAGTGACTTTTAGAGTGGTGACTGTTGATGTCGCCTTTTAGGTGTCAGTAGAGTGTAAAAGGTTAATGTGGTCTTAAATTAATTTTGTAACAAGAATAAAATATCAAAGCAAAATCTTTGCTACGACTTTAAATACAATATTTTACATGATTAAAGAAACAATACATTTACGCTACAGAGGAAATATGAAAAAAAATAGAGTAGTAGTATTTTTTGAAATTACATTTCAGAGAGGTTATTTGTGTCATAAGAAGGGAAAGGATGTTATTATACATTACTATAATTTAATATATATATATATATATATATATACACAGGGCTCGAAAAACAGCCCGTCCGCC